CGTCCAATACTCAGTAAGAAAATTAAAGCCTGGCGTGGCCACGTGTGGTTTTGCTGCCAATCACGAGCGATTTCATTTGTTTGAGAATAGTGGTTTCAGCCAATACTGAGAAGGTTATTCAAGCCAGACCTGGCCAGCCGCGCGGGTTTGCTGCATTCATATGCTAATTAGGGCCATTTGTACAGCTGATCGCTCTCCACATACGTCACGGTACGTTTTCGACAATTTGTGGCACGACAAACGCGGACAAGCACGGGTTGCAAATTGTCGGAAACTGACGAAAATCAAATAGATCTGCGGGAGTTTACGGGGGTTTACGGGGACGAAAATCTCACTTTTCATGCAGTGTATATGGCAGATTTTCTTTTTTAATATCCGTTTATATAGAACTGAATGCAATGTTTCTACTGCATTTTGCACCATGTCTTTAAACTGGTTACCTTTTCACCTTCACTGTGGAAATGTTAATTTCACTGTTGTAAGCTTCCCATTCACTGTTGAAAAACGTATGCATTGAAACTTCTTTTTGTTTACACTGTGTATATACCATGAAAATAAAGTTTTTGAGGGGAAAAACCTATGGTGATTACACAATTTTATTCTGGGTGGTATATATCTGTAGCTTTAGCTTAGAATTTAGTATCAGTGTGCATGCGTGAACACCTGGACCCAAACTTACGTGGTGTGGTTGCATGGGTATGTTCGCGTAAAAAGGATTTACAAAGCTTCTTCAGGGGGAGAATATGCTCAGTAGCAGGTGTTCAGTGGCCCCAGACTTAGGGGCCTGATAGAATAAGAGTTGACATGAGTCCCGGATATCTAGAAGAACCCCAGATCATTTGGACACAAGGAAGGCAGACATAGGGATAGCCGCACCCAGCAGAGAAGGGCAGACAAAAGCACCCGGAGCCCGACCCCCAAGGGGCCAAAGCCCAAAGGGGTCTTGTCCAAGATGGACCCTGGTCAGAGCCCCGGGGTCGGAGGTCTGGGGGCATAGAATTCCCCACCTCCCACCCTAAAAATTGTGTCTAAATGCATTCCAACAACCAAGAACCACAGGCTCACATGAGCATCAGAAGCAAACAAAAAGCCTGACTCACCTCTAGTGCCCCAAGTATGCCCACCCTGATGTCCTACTTATGTGTGTCTTGGAAATGTTAAAAATGATAAATGATGCTGACTAATGTGTTAAAAAAAATTAGGGCAAAGGCCAGCACCAGCATGGGAGGAGCCACTCATTTGATGATTGCTACTCCAGGATCCTATGTGTGCAGCACTGTGATTAAGCAGATCAGGGGAAGCATCCGAGATCGGAAGCAGAGAACTGGGAAGGGGTTCTCCCAGAGAGCCAACTCACCTAATGCCCTTAATAGACATCTTGTTCTCCAGCCTCAACCAGGGGATCGAGGCACCAAGTTTTAGGGGCAGACCAAAACCCATACCCGGGGCCCCAAGTCCCCCCCATCACTCCCCAACCCTCAAATGCCAACCGCAGCTCCAATACCTTGTCCCTCGTCTTAGAAAGGGAGAGCCATTCCCCAGATAAGGAGAGGCCAGGGACTGGGCAGTGGAGATAGAGCATACTAATCCTCATTTTTCTTAGGTCTTCAGCTAATATGTGGGGGTTTATCTTTCCAGAGAAATCTGGTACTGGAACAATCTTAGAGATTTAAACCATTCTGAGTATGGTTCACTTGGAATCATCAAAAATAGGTTATTTATTTTTGGCAAGAGCAATTTTTATTGAAGCTATCCTGTGTACCAAAAAGTGATATGGTAGGGATTTCCATCTGGCAAAATAATTTTCTACTTTTTTTAATAGTGGGATGTGGTTTAATTTTATCAAATCCACCAGTTATATGTTGATAACTACATATTTTATATTCCCTGTGTTGGGATCTGGGAGTATGTTCTATTTTCTTCTGCAGTTTTCAAGACCATCATCCAGAGGTCATCTGAGAGCATGGTTGGTTGGGTTGCACTGATTGATTGCCTGCACCTGTTCCTCATCAGCTCCAGACTACTTAAGGAGTTTGCTCCCGGTACTTCAATTACCGATTTAAGTGGTGTAATAATGTGGTGTAATAATGTTTTATTAAATGATTTTCTTAATCAAGAACCAATAACCTTTAGTCTAATGATTCTTAACCCTCTTTGAAATATCTAGCAGCGAACAGACATGAGGATTCCATTAATGACTCTTGGTCATACTTGGTAATCGAAATGTAATTAACCTATGAGGAACACATGAACACAAATGTTATATTAGTGTTTAACCCTTAGTGAAATAAAGGTTGTCCAAGCTTCAACAACAGCTCAACACATGTTTCTGTATAGCATAGTGTAGCATGCAGTCCATTCTGTTAGCGTTGTCTTTACTCATCAGTAAACTCATGAAAGGATCAACATCATCAATAGACATATTGTTTGTTCTGTCCCAAATTATGCCAGACCTGCAAAGCTTTTTTCCACGTCAGTTTGGAAAGCTTGAGTTTAATCCAGCTGCAGCTCAGCAGTCAGGGCAACAGGCAGGGGTTTCCAGGGGGTCCTCTTTGTCTCAGTGTTTCACACCCAGGGCAGGCTTCTCATCCAGTCTAGCTCTATAAGTGCTAAAACTCAACAGAAATGTGTTGCAAAAGGTCTGTTTTGCAGCAGTTTGGTTCTGAAAGCTTCTGACTTATCCTTGAGGCAAAGAGAGAAAATAATCTTATGTGCTCTGTGATTTTGTCTGTCCTCAAACAGATGGGGGGTTGCATAGATTCACAGCTGAATCCACATCATCATGTCAAGATGAAATATGGACACTGGTTCCCAATGTCCAGAAAGTATGATCATGGCATATGGCGCAACAATATATTAAAGTTGTAGAGTTTAGTGGGGAAAAGGTATTTAACTATTCAATCCTGTTAAATAAAGGAGGTTGAGGGTAATTCACTCAGTCGGTACTTTATTTTCTTACCAAGAAAAAAAAAAAGATATTAGATCAGATGATTTTATTACCATTACATGAACCAAAGAAAAAGAGTTGGATACAAAATATTGAATGAATAAATTTCCTTAAATCCTAAATTACGAACAATAAAAATTACACCAAAAACATTGCTGATTGGATTGAATAATAGTACATACGTTTTTTCCCCTCACTTCATCAGTATTAAATTTTTCTATCAGAATCTAATGTGAAAAAGGCTACTACTTCTTTATATTCATCAGGAAAAAAATATTTTTTTCTCTTTCCTAAACATTTTTTCACACTTAAATTGATTGTAAAACACTTTAAACCAATAATGACAAAAACAATTGTGGCAAACAATTAATTCTCAGTGAAGGCACCCTCATCTTGAACAACCCTAGATCCAACATGTCATCATGACCATTCTGGGATCAAAGAAAGCTGTTGAACAAAGAAAATAATATAACTAGAAGCTTTGATAAAAGTAAACAGCAGAGTAACTTTTTAAATATGCCATCTCCAAGAACTTTACCTTTTTCAGCTGCTTTTCAGAAACTCTTCATGGAGTTGTTGAACCCTGGTAAGTTCTTCTGAAACGTCTACACATAAAGTTTTGCTGACATACTTCTTAGACTTTTATTGAAAGTTTATTAATATTATTTTAAGAATGGGTACTTTACCTGGAATTGAGTCCTTATCTATCTTGAATGAGAGCTCAATTGATTCCTTCATGGTACTCTCCAGAGTCGCCAAGATCTCGGTCTAAGTTGGCATTTGAATTTGTGTTATTTATTGCAGTAAAACATTTGTTTCAAAGTAGAATACAAAGTTAATCTGGTTTTCTGAGACCTTTATTTATCTGTGTGGTTTAATGTAGAGGCTTGTTTTAGGACTTATCCAACTATAGCTTCTCTGTCATGGTCAGACTCTCAAAACTTTCTGTATTCGCTGGTAACAGTTCCTCTAACTCATCTGGAGTACAATCCAGTGAATAAATAAAAATCAGTGGTTAAATGTATGACTGATACTAATGTATTTCAAAAAGGAGATTCACAGAGTAAACTGGTCTCTTACAGAATAATCAATGCACTCAGCATTGGGAAAGATCATTGCACAAGTGACAATGGTAGCAGTTGATAATTTGATATGAAAGAAAACATTCTTTGTATTTATTTCAATATGTAACATACCCTCAAACTGCTATGCAGATCTAACATTTCATCTTTAGCCTTTTCAAACAGGATGTTATTTGATTTATGGACATGTCTCTCTATAGTTTCCCTCATGTTCTGCAGTAAACCAGTTCCTGAAAATCCTGCTGCTTCTGCAAAAGAGAATGTTGAAATTTATTGCAAATGTAAAATAACAAGGAACTTTTGTGAATTTATATATCAGTTAATCTTACTGTCATAGCATTCCAGCAGGTTTTCCTCAGCTGTCTTTGCTAGACTGTTGTAGATGTTTTTTTTACCGTTACGAACAAGTTTGGTCAGTTTTGTCTTTAATTGTTCTTCCTAAGAAAAATATAAGCTGTAAACAACTGTTTAAAAAAAAAAAAACAGACTTTTGGGCAAATTGTATTAATTGTACATGTTGTTGGTCTGTAAAAAAAACATTTATCTGCTGAATGACATGAACATAATACTTTCCCCATTAGGGCTGGGCGATAATTCAATAACGATATATATCGATCGATAGACGTGTGGTGCAATAGAAAAAAAGAGAGTTGATAAAAGTTCGATAAAGACATGCAGTTTTCCTTCCTTCTCATTGTAGCCTAGCATGTAGGTTTATGCTAGTCACTACTTCCTCCCAACCAATCACAATCGCGGACCCAGGCACGCCGTCACAAAGCGCCGCCCTCTCAAACCACAACACAGAGCACATGAAGATGTCGCAGCAAGGAGAGGCGGAGGAAATTGTTCCAAAGAAGGGTTTTTGTAGTTCGCCAGTTTGGCAGTATTTTGGTCATGGCAAGTCCGAAAAAAAACAAACCACAGTCATCTGTAAAATATGTAGGGAACCAGTGAAAACGAAGTCTGATAACACAACCAACTTTTTTTTATTATCTCAGCCGCTCACACCCGCAGGAGTACGAGCTGTGTAGGCCCCGGCGCGGCTCTCCTCCGAGGAATCTTCGGGCAAAAATATATATATTTTCAGTTCTGGGCAGTTTCCCATGTAGTTCTAACAATTGAGAGAAAAATGCTGAGGGGGCAGCAACTTCAAAGTAATAACTCAGGTTAAAGCAGGAAACTAAGCTGAACCAGGTTCAGGTTGTCCATTTATTTATTTGTTATATTTATATTGGTCACTTTTCTGGTCACTTTAGTTTATTCTTTGTCAGTATTTAATAATATAACTCAGGTCTCTTAAGTTATTTTTCTTTAAAACAATTCTGAGTATGGTTAAAAAAGTTGGTAAAATAAAGATTTAATTCGAAGTCTGCTTTTGTGTCCTTTATTAAAATTAAATCATTTAGCAATATCATAAAATGTCCAGGCAGAGCTGCACATAAAATATGGTTTCAAATCTTTTCAATAATTATCAATATCGATCAATATGCATTTTTTTTTATCGATACGCTTTTTTTCTATATCGCCCAGCCCTATTCCCCATTAGTTACCTCATTCTTCAGAAATACCAGCTGTAGTTCAACATCACTGTACTTCTGTTTTAGCCCTTCAACATCAAGTGAAAATTCATTGATTACTCCGTAGATTGGACCACATTTTCCGTCATTCCTGAAATATTTAAATGTATTTTCTGATTATCTTACACTGTATACATACATTAAATTAGTAAACTCATTTATTATAAACATTCTCTTAATTTAAGCAGCTTATAAAGTACAATACTTACGGGAAAGTTTTTCTGAATTCCTCATCAATGCTATCTGTCAAGAGTGAAATTAACTTTGTGTTGAAGTTTTTTTCCCGCCCACGTTTTAGTTTCAGGACCCCTTTATTTTCGACCAGTTTTCTTAGTTGTCTATGAAAACCACGTCCACTCTTTCTCTGAAGAAATACAAAAATTTTAGAGTATAAATAAATACAAAGTACTGTTTACTAAGTTTTTAGTATCCAAAAACATACTGGAGGATAGAGAAAGTTCTTCAAGATTTTTTCAAATGAATCTTTGGATTTTTCGACTCCTTCTTGTAGGCACTTTTCAAACATTTTGTAATTCTCCATCATTGCATATCTGATCAAGTCACTTTGTTGGCTAAGGTTTCTCTCCAGTTCTTTACAAACATCTTTGTTTTCTCCACCCTGAAAAGGAAATAAAAATATGAGGTAGAAAAAATGTGTAGTATGAGTAGCTCTTACTGTGTTTATCAAGTCATGTTGCTGTAGCTTTCATCTTCTCTTCATTCTTTTTACTTAAACTACATTTACCTATTTCAATGCACACATTTTAGTCACTTAAATAACATCCATATTATAAATAAGCGACATTTCCAGACTATTATACATAAAGGAATTGTTGGCACCCTTCAATTATTGAAAGAAAAAGTAATAAGATAAGACAAAGGTAATTAGATATGATTCTAAGAACAAGAACAAATCAGAAATTGATTTTCAGCCATGCTGAAACAGGCCTAGATAAAAATGATGGTACCCTTAAAAAGGACATTAAAGCTGGGTTTTGAATATGAACTTTTTGCTGCAAGGCAACTGTACTACCGACTATGCAGCCAAAGTTTAGCAGCAACTGTCTCATTAAAAGGCTTTTGATGGCATAAGACTGATTCCAATCAAACTTTACTTCAAAAGAAGTAACCTCGAAAAGCAGATGTTCTCCTTCTCTGTCCTCTCGAATGTATTTTGTGTCTTCTAGCTTCAGCCCCAGGTTTGTCAGAACAAAACAGAATGAATCACTGGGTTTAATACGGAACTGCTTCACCTCTCAGTGTTCTGACTTAGATCTCTAATGATGTTTGGTTCTGTTTTCATCAGGAAAAAAAAGGTGTTCAAATAATTTGAAATAACTTTTCAGGTCAGGCCACAGTTTCCTATGGCAGTTTGGATAAGGACAAAATTGTTATATTGAGTTTATCAGTTTTAAGACAGTTCTTATATGGATTTCTACTTAACCTTAATAAGGTTAGGAGAAGTGGAACTTGGAAGGTGTTTTTTTTTTAACCAGAAAAAAACTTAAGGGCCTAAATCTTACCATATTCCTTGACTTTGCTCCTTGAATCAAAGAGAGGATCCCATTAGCTCCAGAAAAGTAGTTCGATGTTTCTGAGTGACAGTCATTGAGATTTTGCAGAAACTCCTGAAGCTTGGGGATTTCTGTGAAAACAAAATTCAACTTATAGTGGTACTCTTTATAAACATAATTCTTAAGTTTTTATCACCCAAAAAAGGGATACTTATCCTACCAGTGTATTCTGGACTTAGATATTTCCTCTTGACAAACTCTTTGGAGCTCACCGTGAACACTTGGAAACAGCCTTCATTGAAATGTTTCTAAAACAATAAAGGTTAATAGGCATTATGTTTGTATCCTGTTTCTAGAAGTGGCTTATTTTGCTGTTGGATTTTTTTTTAACCCATTAAAGCTCACCTTAACTCTGTCTAGCTTGTTGAATTCTTTTCTCACAGATTCTTTGGCTGACATGTTTCTTTTGAGTATAGAATCCAACACAGCAGCTCTGGAGAAAAATAAGCAATAATAGTATATATGTTACACATTTTGGAATGTTTAACAGCACGTGTCTAAATTGAAACCGTTGAATGTCTGGTACGCCGCTTGGCTCTGCTCAATTTTTTTTTGTTTTATGCTCATTTCATCATCTGTCTCAAGGACCAGCTGGTGTATTATTCTCAAGAATTGCTAAAAATAAGGGAAACAGTGCATTTGTGTACTATTTGTGGTGCTAACAAGTCAGATTACCGTATTTTCACGACTATAAGGCGCACTTAAACGTCTTTTTTTCCCCTCAAAATGTGCGGTGCGCCCTTTGGTGCGGTGCGCCCTATGTGTGTTGTAACTGCTACTTTTGAGACCACCTCATTGAGGAGATGATGAAAGAGTGGCTGAATGTAAGGAGACCAGGTGTTTTTTTTCCACTCATCACCATCGCTGTTAATATGTAACTCCATGCATGCCCATCTCACAGCTGATGTCAAAAACATGGGGAAACAAATTAACGCTGTGCTCGCTGTTCAACCGCTCGACATCGGTGTGAACCGGACGCAGCAGGTGCAGAAGAAGCAGCGAGTTTACATGCAGTCAATGGTTGACGCGCGTATAGGCGCAGCAAAAGGTCCCGCAGCGCGTTTTGAGCAGCAGGTGCATTTAAGCATCTGCCAACGCGCTGCTGCTGCTCGAGATGGAAAAATTGAAGTTTTGCTGCTGGACGCGCCGCATCAACCAATCAGAGAAGCAGATCTGGGAGCTGACAGCGAGACAGACACAGCGCTCTGATGACATATGATATTAACGCCAATGAAAAGGGCTGGATGGATGAGGAGATGATGAAAGCCTGGCTGAGGCAGGTGTATGTGAGGAGAACAGGTGTTTTTTTCCACGCATCACCATCGCTGCGTGCCCATCTCACAGCCGATGTGAAAAAAAAAAGGTGAATCAAATGGACGCTGTGCTCGCCGTTATCCCGGGGGGTCTGACAAAGGAACTTCAACCGCTCGACATCGGTGTGAAGCGGCCGTTCAAAGTTAGGCTGCGAGCGGCGTGGGAGCGATGGATGACAGACGGAGACCACAGTTTCAGGATAAGTGGAAGGCAGCGCCGGGAACGTTACGCCACCGTTAGCAGAAGGATTGTTGATGCTTGGACTAACGTGTCTGCTGGCTCTGTTGTTCAAGCTTTCGCAAAAGTCGGCATTATTTCTGAGGAGCTGCGCTGCACGGAAAGTGACTCTGACAGCGAAGAAGGGGAAACTGGCATGTCTGATGTAGCGCAGCTGTTTAATTCAGAAACAGAGGATGATGACTTTGATGGGTTTGATTAATACTTTGTAATAAATACATGAATAAAGCACAATCATACTCAGTTTTGCTCCCGCTCTATTTTTCTACCGGAAAACTTAATTCAACAGCATCCTCTGGGCCGGGTCTCCTCCTCTTCACCGCGGTGGCTGGCAGGTGTTTTTTCATCTAAATAATCTAAATCTTGCAGCTATATTTGCTGTGATCAGTGGGAAAAAAGTAGTTTTAATATGTTTTTAAGTGAGAAAGTCCACCTGAAAACTTAATAATTGCAGTCAGTTAATCCAGATTATCTATTTCTGTCGGAGGCGCTCAGACCCCCACATACCAGCGGTGCACCGACAGCAGAAATCCTTTCATCAGCAGCCTCTAGGCTGGGCAGCCTCCAGGTTCACCGCGGCTGCTGGCAGGTGTTTTTCATCTAAATAATTTTAACTGCAGGCACCAGGATACCGGCAATAAAAGCGAACAAATTCCGTCGGCAGGTTTCAGGATTTTAAGTTAATTTAGGAGCGATCACAGCGCTGTGTCATCTGCGATGTGTCTGTCTCACGGCCAGCAGCCAGGTTTGATTAATACTTTGTAATAAATACATGAATAAAGCACAATCATACTCAGTTTTGCCCCCGCTGTATTTTTAAATACGCAGTAGAGGTATTTAAAGGTAGTAGAGAACATGTACCTGTATATAAAAAAACGCGCCCTATAGCCTTATGTGTGTGTTAAATACAGAAATGGGACACATAACTGAGAGTGCGCCTTTTAGTACGGTGCGCCTTATGGTCGTGAAAATACGGTAAGTCTACCCAGTTGTGTATTAAAGACTTTTCTGAATTTGTTGCCTTTGTGCTCACGAGTTATGACAAGGTTTGTGCATGTATGTTGCCCTTCTAAGCCCATAACCAGTGAGTTTTTAGACTTGGGGGAAGTTTTTAATTTTACACAACAAGTCACTGGTCCAACACAAGTGCACAAGCACATGTGTTGGGCAACAATTGTGTTTTCCAGTGGTTTTCCCATTAACAATGTCGTTCTTGGGGATAACTTGTTCTCTGACTACAGTCCTGTCATGTTTGTTCTTACTTTGGACCTAATTTGCTGTTTTTTCTCCTCTTTTTCTTTTACTGCATCTTCTCTGGATCATCTAAAATCCGCTGCATTCATGGACATGGAGCAACTCTTTATTTCCACCTGCCAGTGTTGCTCCTCTTAGAGCCATTTGTCCTAAGCCAAACCGTTGCTCAATGACACTACAACACAGCTCGGCGTGAGTGGAGGATAGGTGGAAGAGGAATCACTTGGAGGTGATTCTTAGAGAGCACTGGAGATAATATCAAAGTCAAGTTAAAATTGACACGGTCAGTATTTTTTGCACTTGATCTTGACTTATGTCAGTAAGCGTGGGTTCTGTTTTCAATCCAAATCAGTCCACTACATCTGAGATGACAAGGAAAACTTGTGAAAAATCCCTCTCTTTTTTTAATGAGAAGGTTTCTGCTATTAGGGCCAACATATCTATCTCTTCATTGTGTTGCTCAGTGTCCACTCAGTGCTCAGCTGTTTTTTGTCAGTTTCAGTCTGTGTCATTGTCTGTGTTCATAGGGATAGATAAAAAACTAAAACCCTCTTCCTGTCCCACACACCTGTTCCCTCCTATTTTTTTAAAAAAAGGTTTGGGACACCATTGGCCTTTCTGTCAGGTTGGCTTCTGGTGCTATGCCTAGCCCTAGCCTAGCCATGACCATGCAAATTTGGCAAATTATTACCCAATTTGTGTTAGAGAAATGTGTTTTTGTACATTTGCAACCTTTTTTTAGATTAAAATGGTACTTTAGACCCGTTTCAGGCGGTTTACAAAGCTTTGCACAGTACTGAATCTGTACTCTTAAAGGCTTCTGATGACCTGCTTTTAATGACAGATGACGGAGGCTCTGACATTTTAGTGCTTTTAGACCTGATGGCTGTTTCTGACACAGTTGACCACACAATTCTTTTAAACTACCTAAGAGATTGTGTAGGTGTCAGGGGGGTTGCTTTGCAGTGGTTTAAGTTTTACCTGTCAGAGAGGTCCTTCTCAGTCAGGCTGGGAGACTCCACCTCATCTTCTGCCCCACATCACTGTGGAGTTCCCCAGGGATCTATCCTGGGACCCATTCTTTTTGCTTTGTACCTCCTCCCACATGGGGAGATTTTTAAGAAGCATGGCATGTCTTACCACTTCTACGCTGATGACTGTCAAATTTACATGCCTATTGCCAAGCCCCCTGACAGGCCTGCTCAACTATCTAGGTGAGGTCAAGGCTTGGTTAACCAAGAGGTGTTTTAAAGCTGAATTAGGTTGGATCTGCCCACGTAAATTTGGGATCACTCAGACATTACTTGTGTCCCAAAGTCATCAGCTTTGACATCATCATGATAGCAATTTTAAATTTGATAAACAGATCAATGGCAGTTTAAAATCAGGATTTTATCACACTTGTCTTTTATCCAAAGTTAAGCTGTTTCTATGCTTTAATCTTTTTGAGCAAGTTATGCATGATTTGCACTGGTTCGTTGTTAAGTTTAGAATTGATTTAAAAAAATTTTTTGTTTTTGAATGGACTGGCAGCTCAGTACATCGCGTACCTCATCCAAAATTACCGTCACCTGCTTGCTTTGAGGTCTGAAAGCAAGCTAAAGCTTGTGGCTCCTAAGATAAATCGGAAAACCAGAGGGGACAGAGCGTTTTCTGTTGTCCGTCCAAAGCTGTGGAATGCTCTGCCCCTCAATATACATATGGCTCCCACTGTGGTGTGTTTTAAATCTCGTCATTGCATAAGTTGTGTAGTCCCCTGTGGCTTTGTAATTATTTTATTGTATTTATTGTTTAAACTGTTTTATTTATATTTATTGTTTTAGGGGTGGAGGTAATGGTTACAGGGGTGGAGGTAATGGTTATAGTTGCGTGTGCAGCACTTTGGAACATTTTGTAGTTTAAATGTGCTACAGTATATAAATATGGTGGATTGTATTGGATTAAATGTAATAGCTAACTTACTCATTATGTGAATATTCAATAACATCAGACTTGGTGCAGATAAAGTGGATGTGCCGACATTCCCCTCCATTTCCAAGAAGGCTGCTTGCACTTTTTAGGATATCCCAGGATTCTCTTTCTGCTGCTGCTCGGTTGATTTCAGATACAATCCACACAGTTGAACAGTTTCCAACAATCTAAGGTGACATATACATAGTAATAAATACCTCTACTTCTATAATAACAACTAGTACTATCAGTGACAGCATATAATAATAATCAGACCTTCAGTCAACACCTCGATAATGAAGTATATATTACCCCTTTCCACATCTCATCTCTGCTTTTGTTTCGGTCCCCATTTCCTGGAAGGTCCACAAGTGTGACGTGTTGTAGAAAATTTGTATGTGGCACCCTGACAGTGACACACTTCACCAGTGGCCAATACCACCTTTTTACAACCTCATCTCCTTCTTGTTTAGTGTCACTTCGTGTGTATTTGATCATCTTTGCAGATAGAGCTTCAGCCTGCAAAACAACAAAAAAAAATTGTATGCATTGTGAAAAAGTCTGTTTTAGAACAAGGCATCCTTTCTTGCCTGGAAGACTGTCAGAGAGTCCACAGTCGTGTAAAATTAGCTTATATGTAGACAGGAACACTGATTCACAAAACCTTAAATTGTTCTTAGAGCTCTGCATAGTTAAAATGTTTTCCTTTATTTGTGACTATTGGGAAGGGTCAATGTCAAGGTCTAAAATGTTTTTCTCTTCTAGCAAAACCAATGAATAGAAATTATAAACTACCAGTTTTGACCACTATATGGACAATCTAATAGCCCAATTTGAATTTTTTCCCCATTCAGCACCACTAATTTAAATATTCCAGTTGAATACTTCTTTATAAGCTTGTTAAGGTTTAAATAACAAATAATGTTTGTTCTGTTCTAGTTTCATTCTAAAAATGACAATAATCTCCTGTTAAATACAAGATGATAGTTTTCACACCATGCCAAAAAGCAGTCCACCAGCTTCCTAAATGGAATATATTTTTTTGTTAAATCATACTTTAAAAGCTCTGCCCCTAGTCACGGTTAGTGACCTTATTACTGCTCCACAATATGAATCTTAGCAGATCTTACTATAATCATGTAAACCATCTGTCACTAAACATTAGACAAATAATTAACATATATTTTTCTTACTGATTCACATGTCAAGGTTTTTCGTATCGACTGACGAAATTCTGGAATTTCCCTGAAGTATTTGTGATCCATGAGTTGCTCAGTAGTTTTCCATTTCCAGTCTTCCCCATAAATTGCAGACAGTTTTTCAACAACATCATGATATTCATCATTATATTCTTCATCTTTCTCCTGATCTTCGTTATCCTTAAGAAACTGATCTCTGTTGCTCAATTCATCTTCCCACTCCTGAAAAAGGGGTGATTTTATTATGAAGGTGTGAAAGAAATGTATTTGAAAAGTATTTCAAAAGAAAGAAAAATATATCTATAGTTTACCTCTTTTGTGATGAACTCAATCTCTGCCTCATATTTTTGGTTGAGCCTGTTAGCCTCCACTTTGATCATGACTGAGGTACAGGCACTGAGACTTCCAGATGGTAAAAGCCTTTCCTCTTCAATGACAGCATTTATCAAAGATGTCTTTCCAGCTCCTGTTTTCCCAAAGACTCCAACCAGCTCTCTTTTTTCCGTCTCCAGATTCATTATTTTAGTCCTGTTCAGAAACTAAACTTTTAAACCTTGAACAACCTTTCAAATTCAAGTAAAAGCTTAGGGTAATATGGAAGTAAATCTGTGTCGCTGGGATTTGAATTAAAAATGGCACTGAAAGTTAAATCGGTGACCTGAAGTAACCCCTTCCCTTTTTACACTGAATTTAGACGCCGAATTTAAGACAGTGAAATAGAGCCAGTTGAATCTCAGGAGGCTGAAAATATTGAGTTTGAATTTTGAAAGGTTGAGTTTTTTTTAAATGCAGATTTTTTTAACACTGAAAAATTAAACTGAAAAATAAGTATTGAAAATGTAATCACTTTGAAATAGTAATGTGAATTTTTAGCTTTTAGAGTAAATAACAAATTAAATTTCAACTGTGTAGAAATAATGACGATTTTTTTTTTAGGCCAAAAATGTGTTCCGAATATATTTTAACACTGAAACAGTAAGTACAAACATACAACATTTAAATTTCAGTGGTATTTTTAATTCAAATCCTAGCAACACAGATTTACTTCCATAGGGTAAACTTTAAAGCATAGCTTTGTAATGAAGCTAAGGCGGAAATTCAACTGAAGAAACTCTGATTACTTCCATTCAATCTGAGGCTGATCCGCCTCCGACGCAGCCAACCCGCTTCAAGCCACTTTCCTCGATGCCCAATCATCTTCCAGCACTCTACTTAAAGCCACTCCAAATCATCTCTAGGCCTGCTCTTCAACAAGCGCAAGATCCATCGCTCCTATGTCGGACTTTGATTCAGACAAATCAACTTACCTCCAATCCTCCGGCTCGAAGGAGTTCCCGTCTAGCCGCTCTCTCATCTCCGTCCTCCGCACTCCGCTCCAGGGTTCGTAAGCGGTCATGCAAACGCAGCAGAGAACGTCCCAGCTCCAGCCGCCATAGCGCCCGGTCCCTCTCTCCGTTCCGACGCAAACCCAGGTCCTTCTTCAGATGTTCCCACCATGTCAGTTTCTCAATCCATAGCGGCTCCACCCTTCCACAATCCTCCCGCAGTTGACCAGTTTTCGGCTTCTCTATGCTCCACCCTGGACTCTCTAAATCGCTCCGTTCAGACTCTGTCTGCACGTGTCCAAGCCTTGGGAATTCCCCACACTGCCACGTCATCACTGCCTTCAGCTTCGCAGCGGGATCCCCTCCCTCCTCCTCCTACATTCACACTCCCTACGCCCGCCCTGAGCCAGCTCTAGGTAAGACGTATCTAACCATGTTTCTATTATAATTTTCTTTTTTCTTTTTTTTTTCATTCTGCTCATTATGCTTCCCCCGCCCTTTCCATCCAGGCAGTTTATATATTTCTATGTATTCTAACGTTTCTCCTTGCCTGTTGCAATATTATATATGGGAAATATATTAATTTAGTTTCACTCACCCTCCCCTCCTGTGAAGTTGAACATCAAGTCGCCTCAGCAGGTGACATTACAGCTGTTTCAAATCATCCGAGGGCGTTTTGCCCATCTATACCCTTTAAGTCTAGCATTCAATCTATTCCTCCTCCGTTCTCTTCTACACTTGCCCAGCCCACAGACTCTGGTAGAAACGTCCAGATATTCAATTCCAGACCCATCTGTAATAAGTTTAATGAAAGTACATGCACCTTTCCTAATTGCAGTTTCGCCACATTTGCAGCTTTGCTAGGATGCGCATCCCAAGTCCATCTATCCCCGTTGTGTTCTGTTCATGAGAAATCGTACCTTCAAACATTAATAGCCCGTCATCTTCTACTCCCATCATTATTTCTGAATTGGCAATTTATCTTACCCATCATCCGACCACACTTTCGTCAACTTCATTCTTACCGGTCTGTCTCAAGGTTTTCATTTCGGAGTCTGCACCACCACCCCCCCCACCCCCCCTCACCCATGTCTCCCCTAATCTCCAATCTGCTTTAAAGAACCAGACGTCGTAGATCAGCTGCTTCACAAGTTGTGTCCAAGAGTTTCACGATTGGTCCTTTCAAAACATTCTCTGTCTGCTCCCTTTCGTGTGAGCCCCCTAGTGGTAGCTAACCGCTATATTCCGGGAAAATGAGGCTCATATTGGACTTATCTGCCCCTCATTCTGGCCGTCACTCCTCCATAAATAGCCTCTTCCCTCTTTCCTCCTTTTCTCTTCACTACGCTTCTGTAGACCACGCTATTTTCTCTCATTAAGACCACCGGCCAAGGGGCCTGGCTGGCCAAAGCAGACAAAATTATTTTCATTCATCCTTCTCAATGGCTCCTGTTCGGAGCTAAATGGAAGTCTCTGTTCTACTTTGCTGTCCGTCTCACCTTTTGCTGCAGGAGCAGTCATTGTCTGTTTGACAATCTCAGAAGCTCTGTGTTGGATTCTCCTTAATGTTACTCATTTGCCATGCGTTCTTCATCTCAGGATGGTTTCCTACGCATAGATCCTCCCTCCATTAGCCCAGTTCGTCACTCCTTAAACTAAAGCTCTTAACCACTTGGTGTTCCCCTGTCCGAAGAAAAACCATCGGCCCTGTTACAAATTGTGTTTCTAGGCATAGCTCTCGTTTCAGTGGCCATGATGGCATCCCTGCCCGCGGACAAGCTGTCTCAGATTCGTGAGATTTCTCAGTCTTATAGCTCTGCATCAATTATTTCCAAACGTCAGTTGCTTCTTTGCTTGGTCACCTTATTTTGCTGTGCGCATCATGGTCGTTCCTTCATTTCCCGACTGCTTGACCTAGCTAACTCTGTTCCCTCTCTCTTAGATTAGGTTTCTCTGGACGAAGGTTGCCGTTCCGATCCTTCCTTCTGGGCTAGACTTCTTGTAAATGGAAGGGCAAATTATTTTCGATGGCATCATTCAAACGCTGACACGCTCCAATTTTTCACGGATGCTGCCCCATCCGTAGGTTTTGGGGGGTTTCTTTCAGGACAGGTGTTTGCTGGTTCATGGCTCCCTCTTTTACTAGTTCTCAGTCATTTGCGCTATGCGAGGTTTACCTTTAGCCGTAGCTTGCCGTCTGTGGGGCCCGCTTTGGAGGAGAATGCGCATATCCACTTCTGCGACAACATGGCAGTCGTTGACGCCATCTCTAAGGTCGCTCCTCCTCTCAATCTCTCATGCCATTCATTAGAGGCATAACTTGGCAAGCAGTCTCTTACAACTCCATCATCTCTGCTTGACACGTTCCTGGTCTTTCTAACCATGCTGCTGATGCTCTTTCTCGTTTTAAATTTCAGACCTTCCACATCTTCGTCCTTCTGCCGATCTCCTTCAGACCCCCGTTCATCCGCTAGAAGAACTCATCCTTAACTAACCCACTCTCTTCGTTCGTACTTACTTCCTCCAGTTTCTACATAAATCAGGTTTAGCTTCACTTCAACTAATAGTCGTTTCGATCCTTCCCGGCATTTGTCTCTTTCGGATCTTCGTTTCCACATCGATCTTACAAATATCTTGAATCATTCTAAAGGAAAGGCCCTTGTTTTATTTCTATCTTACGTACAGATGGCCCCTTTGCCCGTTTATTACCATGTTTAATCTGTTCAAAGCGCCAAAAGTTTTTCCCTCATTTCAAGCCACTTCGTCACGCGCAAGGGTTCTCCCGCATCACCATGCTGGTTCCAGACCATCTCAGAATACTATTAGAATCCTGTGGCTTTTCATCCAGTCATTATTCCAGCCACTCATTTAGGATAGGGGCAGCCACAAACAGCTGCTCGTGGTGTCTCTGTGGCTTCTCTCCAGCAGTTGGGCCGATAGACTTTTTCAGCCTATAAATCCCATATCCGCCCTGAACACTCTTCAATCTTAGCAGCTCAACGCTCTCTCTGTCTGTAAGGTAAGCTAACTTCGAATACTGGTGGTGGTTTAAAATATATTCTCATCTTTGCTAAATCATTGCTCCCTGCCACGCACCCTGCTATGTTCCCTGTGTGTTCCCTGCCTCATTCCCTGCCTTGCATTCTGCCATGCTCCCTGGGTGTTTCCTGCTACGCTTCCCGCTATGCTCCCCGTGAGTCATGTTCCTTGCCATGCGCCCTGCCACGCTCCCCGTGTGATCCCTGCCACTTTACCTGCCTGCCATGCTCCCTGTGTGTTCCCTGCCATGCTCCCTGTGTGTTCCCTGCCATGCTCCCTGTGTGCTCCCTGCCATGCTCCCTGTGTGCTCCCTGCCATGCTCCCTGTGTGCTCCCTGTGTGCTCCCTGCCATGCTCCCTGTGGTCCCTGGCCTTGCTCCCTGCCATGCTCCCTGTGTGCCCCCTGCCATGCTCCCTGTGTGCTCCCTGCCATGCTCCCTGTGTGCTCCCTGCCATGCTCCCTGTGTGCTCCCTGCCATGCTCCCTGTGTGCTCCCTGGCCTTGTTCCCTGCCATGCTCCCTGCTATGCTCCCTGTGTGTTCCCTGCCATGCTCCCTGTGGTCCCCTGCCTTGTTCCCTGCCATGCTCCCTGTGGTCCCCGGCCTTGTTCCCTGCCATGCTCCCTGGCCTTGTTCCCTGCCATGCTCCCTGGCCTTGTTCCCTGCCATGCTCCCTGTGTGTTCCCTGCCATGCTCCCTGTGGTCCCTGGCCTTGTTCCCTGCCATGCTCCCTGTGTGTTCCCTGCCATGCTCCCTGTGGTCCCTGGCCTTGTTCCCTGTCATGCTCCCTGTGTGTTCCCTGCCATGCTCCCTGTGGTCCCCAGCCTTGTTCCCTGCCATGCTCCCTGTGGTCCCTGGCCTTGCTCCCTGCCTGCTCCCTGTGTGTTTCCAACCTGCTTCCTCGCCACATCCCCTGTCGTTTCCTGCCTTGCTTTCTGCTATGCTCCCTGCATGTTCCTATGCTTCCTGCAATGCTCCCTGCAATGTTTCTATGCTTCCTGCAATGCACCCTGCTAGGCATTCTGCAAAACTCCTTTATTTTCTCTCTGCCATGCTCACTGCTATGATCCCTGTCATGATTATTCATTTATCACGTGTATCAGCCTGTGCATAATGAAGTCCTTCTGTACTCATCCTTCTCCCTCCGCTTTCTGCATATGCTGGCACTCAGGCCTGTACCTCGGCAATTTTTGGGGGGAATATCCTTATTCTCATACATCAGTTTATCTGCATTAAAGTATAAACCAGCGTTTATGTTTCCTGCCGAGGCCTGAGCGCCAAAGTTCAAACTATTGTATCAATAAACTCTTCTAATTGCATCTTTCTCTCTCTGTGAGTTTTTCAGATTGAAATGAAGCTAAGGCGGAAATTCAACTGAAGAAACTCTGATTACTTCCATTCAATCTGAGGCTGATCCGCCTCCGACGCAGCCAACCCGCTTCAAGCCACTTTCCTCGATGCCCAATCATCTTCCAGCACTCTACTTAAAGCCACTCCAAATCATCTCTAGGCCTGCTCTTCAACAAGCGCAAGATCCATCGCTCCTATGTTGGACTTTGATTCAGACAACCCACCTCCATCCCCTTCTCCACCATTGTAGTAAGCTCATCCGACTCCTCCTCGATGCTCCTTCAACCTCACCTCCAGTGTGTACTCCCTCCAGACTTTCATGGAGTTCCCTGTCACTTTAAACGGTCCGGCAGAAGACCGCCACGTTGAGCCTGGTTCTGCCAGAGATTTCTTCCCAAAGGGGAGTTTTTTCTCTCCACAGTCGCTTCATGCTTGCTCTTCATGGACAGTTTATGCAACTTTGTTCATTCAGTGACATCTAACTCAAGCATCACCCTGTATACCAGCCTCTATGGATTAACCAAACTTCACCTATCTAAACTCCACCACCAGTTTCAGGCCCGGGGGGAATATCCTTATTCTCATACATCAGTTTATCTGCATTAAAGTATAAACCAGCGTTTATGTTTCCTGCCGAGGCCTGAGCGCCAAAGTTCAAACTATTGTATCAATAAACTCTTCTAATTGCATCTTTCTCTCTCTGTGAGTTTTTCAGATTGAATTACTTTTATATATGCATGCATATTAAATATGGATGATTTTTTTAAGTACATAATTAAGGTTTATATCTTTGAAACTGATTACTCTTTGAAAATGTTCACAGTGCAATGTTTTTCATTTGTAAACATTAGACAAATAAAAACATAGCAAATATATTATTAAGTATTTGATTGTACACACAAATTATGTAGCATTAAGATTTTATCCAAAATAGAAATAATTTAAAACAATTTTATCATAAAATTGTTAGGTCTTTGTGTTTCTGCTTAATTTCAGGTTGGCAGGCTTGATGGGTTCCAGCTGTTACTCCTTGATGACAATCAGTGGGGGGCCTTTATATTGGAGCAGTTTCCTGGAGCAAGCTACCAGTTGGTTCCGCTCTCTCAGTGGTAAAACAGGTCAAGCTCTGTTAGTGAACTAAGCTCCCAGAGTCTCCTCTAATCTCTCCTTGCTCTCGTCCTCCACAGAACCAGATCAGATGCTCACCAGGATCAGGTCCGTTTCCTCCATCTAATTGCTCCTCTGGAACTGTCTCCTCTCCGGTGACCCCTTACGGGAACAATCAGCCTGCCTGTCCACCCTCAATCCAACACAGGACCATCCTCTCGAAAAGGATCCAAAACTCAGATTCTCTCTCTCCCTGGTTTTGTCTACCGTATTTTCACGACTATAAGGCGCACTTAAACGTCTTTTTTTTCCCTCAAAATGTGCGGTGCGCCCTTTGGTGCGGTGCGCCTTATGTGTGTTGTAACTGCGACTTTTGTGACCACCTCATTGAGGAGATGATGAAAGAGTGGCTGTATGTAAGGAGACCAGGTGTTTTTTTTTCCACTCATCACCATTGCTGTTAATATGTAACTCCATGTGCCCATCTCACAGCTGATGTGAAAAACATGGGGAAACAAATTAACGCTGTGCTCGCTGTTCAACCGCTCGACATCGGTGTGAACCGGACCCAGCAGGTGCAGCAGAAGCAGCGAGTTTACATGCAAAGTCAATGGTTGACGCGCGTATAGGCGCAGCAAAAGGTCCCGCAGCGCGTTTTGAGCAGCAGGCGCAGCGCGTCGTGCCGCTGCTGCTCGAGATGGAAAAATTGAAGTTTTGCTGCTGGACGCGCCGCATCAACCAATCAGAGAAGCTGATCTGGGAGCTGACAGCGAGACAGACACAGCGCTCTGATGACATATGATATAACACAAATGAAAGGGCTGGATGGATGAGGAGATGATGCAGGCAGGTGTATGTGAGGAGACCAGGTGCTTTTTTCCACGCATCACCATCGCTGCGTGCCCATCTCACAGCCGATGTGAAAAAAAGGTGAATCAAATGAACGCTGTGCTCACCGTTATCCCGGGGGGTCTGACAAAGGAACTTCCACCGCTCGACATCGGTGTGAACCGGCCGTTCAAAGTACGGCTGCGAGCGGCGTGGGAGCGATGGATGGCCGACAGAGACCACAGTTCCAGGATAAGTGGAAGGCAGCGCCGGGCAAGTTACGCCACCGTTTGCGGATGGATTGTTGATGCTTGGACTAACGTGTCTGCTGGCTCTGTTGTTCAAGCTTTCGCAAAAGCCGGCATTATTTCTGAGGAGCCGCGCTGCACTGAAAGTGACTCTGACAGCGAAGAAGGGGAAATTGGCATGTCTGATTTAGCGCAGCTGTTTAATTCAGAAACAGAGGATGATGACTTTGATGGGTTCGATTAATACTTTGTAATAAATACATGAATAAAGCACAATCATACTCAGTTTTGCTCCCGCTCTATTTTTCTACCTGAAAACTTAATTCAACAGCAGCCTCTGGGCAGGTCTCCTCCGGGTTCACCTCGGCGGCTGGCAGGTGTTTTTTCATCTAAATAATCTAAATCTCGCAGCTATATTTGCTGTGATCAGTGGGAAAAAAGTAGTTTTAATATGTTTTTAAGTGAGAAAGTCCACCTGAAAACTTAATAATTGCAGTCAGTTCATCCAGATTATTATCCTGCATATACTATTTCTGTCGGAGGCGCTCAGACCCCCACATACCAGCGGTGCACCGACAGTAAATCCCTTCAACAGCAGCCTCACCGCGGCGGCTGGCAGGTGTTTTTTATCTAAACAATTTAAACTGCAGGCACCAGGATACCAGCAATAAAAGCGAACATATTCCGTCGGCAGGTTTCAGGATTTTAAGTTAATTTAGGAGTAATCACAGCGCTGTGTCATCTGCGATGTGTCTGTCTCACGGCCAGCTGCCAGGTTTGATTAATACTTTGTAATAAATACATGAATAAAGCACAGTCATACTCAGTTTTGCCCCTGCTGTATTTTTAAATATGCAGTAGAGGTATTTAAAGGTAGTAGAGGACATGTACCTGTATATAAAAAACGCGCCCTATAGTCCGGTGCGCCTCATGTGTGTGTTAAATACAGAAATGGGACACATAATTGAGAGTGCGCCTTTTAGTACGGTGCGCCTTATGGTCGTGAAAATACGGTAAGTTGACTGAGCTCTTCTCCATTTAACCAGGAAATAAACTGTTAAATCTGCCTCTGTGTCCGCAGTTGTCGCTTGCTTAATCGTCTGGTCTAGCACTATGTCAATAATTTTAGGTTCTGGTTTGTGCAGTCCATACTGTGGTTTTTATTTGCAAATAACATGTCAGTCAGTAAGTTTTGTCAGTTTGGTAATACTCTATTTCCCTGTTTGACTACCTTCAGCCCTAGAATAAATATCAGTGTAAAGTCTGATTCAAAGTCAATTTTTAGCAGAGGTGTCAAGTAACGAAGTACAGTACAAATACTTTGTTACTGTACTTAAGTACACTTTTTTGGTATCTATACTTTAATCCATTACTTATATTTCTTCCTACTTCTGACTTCTACTCATTACATTTTCAAACAAGTATCTGTACTTTCTATTCCTTACATTTTTAAAACAGCTGTTACTCGTTACTCTTGGCTTAGGTTTAATGCAGAGGTCACGGATTAGCGGCCTGCGGTTGATACTTCAACTTTTACCACAGTGTTTTTAAACTGCAGTATCTATACTTCTGCTTAAGTAACAAATGTGTGTATTTTTGAAACCAACGGTTTTTAGCAGTCATATTTTGACTTGAACTCAACCCCAAAAGGGTTTAAATATTATATTAGCCATAAGAAGGATACAAACTTTCCACTGATAACTATTTTTCTTTCATTTCAAGAAGGTTAGGCATAAAAAGAAACCAGGCCATAAATGCTGAGGTAAACTGTAAGTGAAGTACATTTCAACCAAATACATTATGGAACCAAAAACACTTAACAAAGAATATATAATTAAAAGCATGTTTCTTCAAATTGAAGTAATAGTTATTTAGGATAAGGATGCCAGAAAACTTAAGTTAGGACCCCCCCCCCCCCCCCAAAAAAAAAAAAAAAAAAACTAAGAATGCTATTTAGAATATGCCTTTGCAACTCATCAGCATAAAATTCTCTCTCTCTCTCTCTCTCTCTCTCTCTCTCTCTCTCTCTCTCTATATATATATATATATATATATATATATATATATATATATATATATATATATATATATATATATATATATATATATTATATACATTAGATATATAATTATAATTGTACTTATTGATGAATCAAAACCAAAATAATTTGTGATTTTGGAGCAGACTGTCCAAGAACACAGAAAACTACTTACTTTAAAAAATTGTTAACCTTTGTGTCCTCTTGGTTATGTAGTTTTGCTTGGACTTCTGCCATTAAGTTTTTTACACTAAAGAAAATCGATAAATCTGTAAGTGAAAGTAAAAAAAAATGTAATGTCAAAGCATAAATTAAAACCATATTTTAAGAAATACAATATTCTTTAACCAAAGAGGTAAAATTTGTCAGCTGTATTCCAGGTAGTTTACCACTTTTTGCCCAAAATATCGGCTGAATAATTGTTTATCTATTTTTTTCAATATTCTCAAAGAAACACCTGAGGAGATGGCAGTTTTGCGTTTCTTTTTTTCTGTCGGTTGATCTTTGCTGGAATCACTCTGGAAAGCATCCTTTCTCTTTCCTTGTCATCATAAAAAAAAAAAAGATTTGTTGGTCATTACTATCAACAAGTTTTTTAACAGTAAAATATGTGTATTTCTTACTTGTATCACTGGTGGATTGTAAAGTCTGAGGATGAACACAGATGTTATTTTAGTCTTTGTTGAAAAAAATGGCAGTCAATACAAAATCCATTTATATCAATTTTTTTTTTTACGTCACAAGTGGTTGTTTTTCTGACTGTAGGCTGACAGGAAAGGGGGTATGAGAGAGGGGGAGAGGCATGTGGCAAAGGACTACAGTTTGGACCACAGGTCGAACCCCGGTCAGCCACGTCTAGGACTAAGGACACTCTGCCACGTAATTTAGTATGATAAGTTTGCTATGAGATAATATAAATGATAAGCTTCATAGAAATTATTTTTTCAACATCAAATTTAGATATTCTTTTTCCTAAAATGATTTTATTGGAGTCCCCTTAAATTGGTTTGGAATGCATAGCATTATAGTAAAAGAAGGACAGCACATCCTTTTAAATTATTTTAAAAGGATGAAGAATTTTAAATTATCAAAAACACACAACAGATCTGAATTAATCTTTATCTATTAAATAAAGACCAGGTCAAAACAGTAAAAATGCCCTAGATCAGCATTCTTAAACTCATGACTTTAGGACTCACTGTTCTGCATATTCAAGGTTTTTCCCTACTTTCAAACATCAAACTTGAATAAAACAAACTGGTGGCACATGGGAAGCTGATACTCATATCGAAAACATGCAGGACAGTGGTTTGGAGGACCAGGGTTCAAGAACCTACTTTAGACTACAACACAAATGCAGATCTGTAAGCTTCGATTTCACAAAAAAATCTGAATTGAGCATATAGGCCTGTGGTGTGAATGCAGCCTTAATTTCCACAATATAGTTTCAACCTCGATCAAATAAAGTGTTTTTGTGTTTAAGCCTGAGCTTGTATTTGTGTGGTTGGGGCCCTACATAAACTATTACTATTATAAAATCTTGCCATTTAGAAATTTGTTTTATGTCTCGGCTGAAGATTAATTCATTTATGCATTTTATTTTTTGTTTTGAATTCTTCTTAAGGAGATTCCCCCCCCCCCCCCCCCCCCCCCCCCCTATTATTCTGTGAAAAGAAAATTACCTCTTTCAAATGAGTTTCTTCTTCAGGGTGGTGTTGATTCTATAGATAACATATTTCTAGTGTTCACTCATGAAAACATTTGTAAAAAATATGGCAGGTAAAGTAAGCATTAAACAGTACAAAGCCTTTTAGGTACATATATTCTTTAGGTATAATTGGCATGAAATTCCCACCTGATGTCATGAAAAGCCCATCCAGCCCACATTATGGAAGTTAAACAATAGAACCAAACAAGAATGTCACAGCAAATAATGTTTGTAAGGGTGGAGAATGGGATATGGAAAAGTGTAAAAAAAAAAAAAATCATGAAATTATTGAATTGTTTGCACATGTAAAGTCCCTTCACTTACATCTTGTGAAAATTCTATTTCAGTTTCATTTTTAGAAATAAAAATGCTTAAAAATGGTTATGTTTTTTATACATATTTTTCTTATGTATTTTCATTTATTATCACATCCAGATATACATAACGTGTTGCAATGTCCATAACTGTTAACAGATATTGGTCCATGCTTTGTTTTTGGTAGGGGATCCACACAATTTATTAAAACACGACTGCATGGTTCTCCGACCACTGGGATAGGAATCAGCGCAGCAGGTGGAATGTTTCTCCAGCTCTTTCTGTTTGTACTCAAATTCCTGGCTCATCCGTTCTTTATCCTACTCAAGTGTGGCAGCTTCCTGTACTGCTTTCTGCCTTATAAATTTTTTTTCCAACTCCAATTGTGCAAAATGTAACCCCACAACCTTGAGGTTCGTTTCCACAAGACTTCCAGGGGAAAACGTACCTATTAAGGCTTCAATTAGATTAGCTTTTTTGTACCAGGTGGATACTGGACCTTCAAGGACTCTGCTATTTTTAACTGTTCTTCCTTTTTTCATTTGCTACCAGTCTCTCATTCTCCAACCATCCTTTAAGAATTCTTCAATGTTGAATTCCTCCATAATTTCTCACCACTGTCAGCCACTGTTACAGGAAAGAACAAAACCCTGATATTAAAAATGTAGGTTTTGATTAAGTCTGTGACTTCGGACAAGCCCCCACTTGTTACGAACCACTACCTCTAACTCTGGCTTGTTTGTCTTTCTTATCATTGCAAGAGGATAGGGGCTGAAAAAAAAAAAAAAAAATGGGCACCTTACAGAACACACAGTGTGGTGGTTAAATTTCCTTAACCAGCTTCCTTAACCAGCTGACATCTGCTGAGGAAGGGGGAACCCTCGCAATCCCTCATCCATCATATGCTGTGTTTGTTTCTCTTTTTTTCCTTTTTCTTTAGACTTTAATATATATAGTTTTTATTTATTTTCCTCAAGCACCCCACTTGTGACTCCGTTAGTGGTTAGTTTCTTCTTAGCTTGGGTGTAAAGGGCTGGTTATACTCCCGCAGCAGTGTGATATTTTTGATCTATGCCCAATATTGAAGCGTGGTCTGTGCTATGTTATTCCATGCTACAATGCAAGAGGGACAATCACGAACTATCTGTGGGCCTAGATACGACTGAGGCGGTTCTATGAGATCATGTGAATAGCCTAAATTGCTGCTCCCTCCATTTTTTATTGATTGACAATGTTTATTTTGATTTGTTACTAAATTATTTTTAGTAAATGATAAATACTAAATGATAAATCTTTTTATTTAAATTGATACTTGTGTGACCTTTGTTATCATGGTGTCAAGTTTATCATGTAAATGGAGGAAGAAAAAGCAATACTGGGTTAAAATATTGGGCCATATATATGGACAGCATATATCTGGGATTGGTTACACTGATGTCAAAATAATCAGTATCTGCCTAGCATATGTAAAAACTATATACTGTAGGTAATTCTGCACTATGCGCTTACAATGACTTTATGGATTTCTACAGCAGTAACTAACTCTGGTTTCCATTTTAATTATCACACATATTGTTATATTTTATTTCTGTTTTTTGAAGCTTGTTTTTTTCTATATCTCCCAGTAAAGAACTTGCTTTTGTGTAGATCTATAACAAGATGTGACCAGACATAGACATTAGTAACTGCGAATGTTTGAGCTTCACAGTCTCATTACTGACCTCTCTGCTGTGTTCTGTTTTTCACGAGGCTACTTGTTCCCTAATGTTTCATAAGGACTTTAAAGAATAGCTTGATTAACAAATAATAAAAAAATAATAATGAATGCTATTTAGTGGCAAAGAAAGTTCAGGAGGCAAATCATTGTACTAGATTTTACTCAGAGCCCTGAGAGCAAGGGCTCCTAAATACTAATGTAAAAGACTTTAACCGTAGACCCCCTTACCTTGGATAAACCAGGTGCATCTTTTTCTTGCTGTTGGCACTGTGGTGAGAGAGTTATTTTAGTTATACCATTAATGTGCTCAGGAAAATACATAGATATTTATAGTTTGACGTCTGTTACACATTCATGGTGGAAATAGCTTTGGCCTACCATTTTAGGACAAAGTTCTCCATCATTTCTTTTACTTTCCTCCTCCTAAAAAGAAAGGTCATATTGTATATATATATATATATATATATATTTTATTTAGTAATGGAATTATCATTAAAAAGTTTAGAGACTCCAAAACATGCCCTTAGCTGACGGAGCAACCCACTTAGAGCAGTAATTATACCAAGATTGTAGAAAAATATATCAACATTTCGCATTTAAGCTAAAAAAAAAAAAAAAATCATTTATCGTTTTGTATGCTCTATCCATAACACCTCAAATGGAAAAGTTTTAGTTTCACTTGGTTTAATTTCACAAAAAGTCTTTTTTTAAAAGCCTTTTTATATCTGATTATTAATCAAAAAAGAATCAACATATTAATCGATTTGCAAAATAATCGTTAGTTGCAGCCCTAACGATTATATATACAATAAAAAAAAAATACATATATACATTTATATATACATATAGATGCATAGTTAGATTTAGATGTAGATAGATAGATATGTTTCAATCTTACCTTTAACATCCTGAGTTTCTCCTTAAACCGTGCCCTTGGTCCCACTTTTGGTATCAATATTAAAATATCTTTCTCCTCCAGACAATAAAGACTGTCTTTATCCACTTCTTCATCTGTGATTCAGAAATTCTGTTATTTACGTTGTTTTTTATGTTGTTTGCCTCAACAACATAAAAAACATGTATGTAATGAAACTAAAGCTGTTCTCAAAGCCTGTCTTTTTCAAATAAGCCATACAAATATTTAGAAGTGTTTTTGGTGCCATTTACTGGCAAAAATCAAGTAAACTTGTTATAACAACAAGCAAGGATTAGACAATGTAATCAAAAATGTGTGCATTTCCTAAAATGAAACAATGTCTAAGGCCTAGCAAAACAATTGACCCTAAAGTTATTTATGTTTGACAACCATGTTTAAAAATGTTTTTCTAATGAATTAAAAAAATATATACATAGAAAAAATCATGAAGAAACATTAAAGATATTCACCAAACAACACTTAATGCTGAGGATACAATGCACAAAAGACTTATTAACTGTCATGCATTGCCATACTTTACCTTCAAATTTTTGTATGAATTCATTGAGACCCCACTGTTTTAGTTTGTCACGCACAAAGGTATCCATTTCAAAAAACTGAAACTGAAAGTAAATAATCATACTGTTAGTATTGAAACAACCATAAGTAAATTTTCCAGCATGCACATTGAAGAAATCCAGTAAGAATAAACTTTTTACAGTTGAAAATTATACTTTAGGGTTAAATTACTCACCTATTTCTGAAGGTAATGCAGAGAGTTAAGTCAAGGAGATGGAAGAAGAAATCATAAATGTGAAGACAAAATGCCTGCTTTCAAACTAACAGCAAAGTTGCATGGAGAGATGAACCTACTAACAGTAATAATAGTCTGTTGAAAAAACTCAGAGAAAAGAGGAGGGGTTTAAGAAACGAATAATGAGAGTGAAAAACAGAAATGACAGTTGAATGGTTCCACTTTTAACAAATTAAAAAGACAAACACCTTGGGCAGTATTAGTCATACTCATGTGTTTCAAAATCATGCCAGTTTTTTCCCCCCAATTTTGTTATGCAATGGCAAACAGGTCTCAACTCGCTCAGCAAAGCAAGACTTGGACGCCCTTTTCGGACTCAATTAAGGCAGACCTTGTGAGATTAATGGGTTCACCAAAAGGTCTTACTTGTTTAATGTCACCAGTGCAAAACAGATTAGGATAAGCATTGTTGCTGTCAACATAAGCACACTGTGCAGTCTAACCAGGCAAAATGTAAACGGGCACTATATGTCACTTGTTGAAAGGTATGAGGAGTTCAGAAATTCAATTGAAAAATATAAAGGATATACTCTTGCAATTGTGAAAACATTGTGCGTTACTATGTTTATGCTATATTTTTAATTTGTAAGAAATATTTTTGTGCTTTAGTCTGTTGTAACCTTACATGTTTCTATGAAGAATTCACCCCTCATCTTGCTGACATATTTTGTCACCTTTTATCACACACATGATTTATATGTGTGTGATATATGTGTGAGATATATCAAAACAAAATGTAATGTTAGCCAAGTCTCAATTTTAACTAGAATTTTAGTAAATAATAGTCTTATATTATATTGCAATCCACAAAATTAACACTTTTTCTCTAACTATTTCAGTAACACATGTTAGGGTTACTCTTTATACAGCATGTGCATTGTTGTTCTGTTAGCCAGATTAGACGAAGTAGAAGGCCTTTCTTCATATGGTGGATGTCACTGTGTGTATGGAGGTAATCTAATCAGGACAGCCTTCGTGTCTTTAGAAATACACAGGATATGGGCACATCTTATCTCTGATAAAGGGGAGCTATCTATAATTCTTGGGCATAGAGGCAAGACGCATAACGGTCAGGGCATTGATGGCATGTCAATTTCTGATACGTACAGCTAAGCATCCACCTGATGCAACACATAGACTCATGAGGTATAAGAAGCAGGAGATGACCTTGTTCGGGGTTCGAACTTTGCCGGACGCTCGCTGACGTTTTTTGAGCCCACAGCCTTGCAAGCTCCAAGCATTTTCTTTGTACTGTAACGACCTGATCTGGAATAAACTCTGTCACTTTTTACTCCTGTTTTTATAGTCCTTTTTATATGGTTTTTCCCAGTTTGAGTTAAGAGTAGTAAACAACTTGCTCCCAGGAAAAGAACAGGTAGGGAAGTCCCCTTTAATGAAATTAATAACAGGAGCACTAGAGGGGCAACAACGAGACGACCATCAAAACAGGAATGGTTTTACAGGTGGAGGCCACTGACATTTTTTCCCCTCCTCATCTTTCTGACTCTTTTTTTTACCAGTTTTCCATTTGGCTGGGGTCACTGTCACTACTGCTAGCATGAGAGGCTACCTGGGCCCTACAAAGGTTGCACAGGCAGTCCAACTCCTCCAGGATGGCACATCAACACATGCCATTGCAAGAAGGATGCTGTGTCTCCCAGCACAATCTCAAGAGCATGGAGGAGATTCCAGGATACAGGAAAGTGTAGCTTGAAGTTTCCTGGTGCATAACCCCAGTACTTGGCCATAAAAGTAGCTTCAATACCGAAAAGCTATTTAAAGTGAAAAGCAATGTTGCGACCACACTACTGATAACTGTAGTTAAGGTAGTGCTACTTGTAACAGCGCTACTGCCCATCACTGCTGAACATACGGGTGTTAGGCCTCCAGTCTGTGTGGTCTTTGTTTTTGTGTGTTTGTCTTCCTTCCTCCACCAGGCAGCGCCTGGTTCTGATTCGCCTCCTCACACACCTGCAAGAGGTTACCTCTTTAACGGAGTGTTCTTAAGCTGCTGACTGCCATTACCTCGAGGCCAGAGTGTTTGCCAGTTTTGGGTACTCTAGCCAAGCTGAGTTTTGCTAAGTCAAACTGAGTTTTTGTTAACCTGAGTCTTAACATTGTTTTTTGTCTTTGCCTCTCGGCAGGAAGTCATCCTGCAAACTGGATTTTTCTGACCTTCTCTCCCTGGAAGGATCAGCTGAGCTTCAGACTGAGCTCAGGATACAAACCCGAGGTTTGGATCCTCTTTTCCCCGAGGAAACGTTTGAGCTTCACACCGAGCAAGGGATTCATCTTCACGTACCACAGGAAATCTGAGTGACAGTCAGTCTTTCTCCGTTCATCTACAAGCAACCGCATTCTGGGTAACCCTGTCCGTCCTCCTCCGCATGAGACAAACACCAGAACACATTCCTCACCTGCTGGAGTCTAAGAGTAAACCTAATCTCTGGAAACGTGAGTCTTCAAGTTCGAGAGTCAATTCTCCCACTGAACCTGAACTAACCGCAGTGTCTTCCCCTCACCTTTCAGTTCCGGTTGAGCAGTGTTTAGAGCAACACTGGAATCTCCACAATAACTTCTCAATAAACCTTTTAAACTTTTTCCCTTGTCTCTCTGGACTGGTTTTATCTTCATGTGGGTCTGAGCTCTTGATAAGATCATGACAATGGGACTTACAGCTATCACTTAGCACTGCTATTTTGAAACTTTTAGGTTTCCCTGAAATTCCTTGACAATATAAATGTAAAAATAGTATTAATTGTTTAATTTCGAGCATGATTTTCCTATGTGTGCTCATTGAGTTTAAAGCAAATTTAGGCCCCAGGGTTAGGCCCAAGGAATGCAAATGTGTTTGCATAGCACATTTCAGCACCAAGACAATGCAAAGTGCTTAACTTATAGGAAGCCTTTGCAAGTTCTCAGTGTTTTTTTTCCCACAGTTTAATAGGCATTGACTAAAGATGGTTTCCATTTACTTCAATAAAAAAGTGACTGCAAAGGGACATCATATGCTCAAAAGATTCAGACAAAACGGTACATACCCCTCATTTATTAAAAAATAAACAAACACAATTCTCAAAAAAATAACTTGAATCTGAAAAACATAGTGACAAATAAAAATTCTACATATAAGAACAAATTAAAGTCAGATATTGCTTTTCAACCATGCTTTAACAGAATGATATATTAATAAACTTATAAAAGGGGTCTGAGAATGAGGGTACCTATACAAAAGAAAAATAATGTGACAAAAGGGACATATTAATTTAAGGTTTGTCCACTAATTAGCTTTAGAGGTGTCTATAATCTTGTAATTAGTTAGTGGGCCTATATACTGTATATTTAGGCTATAGGTAGTCACTGTACTGTTTGGTGCCATGGTGAATACTGCACCCAACATGGACTAAAATTATGGACAAAGGTAAAGGCTTAAAAACCATCTCCAAGTACCTTGATGTTCCTGTGATTACAGTTCCATACATTTTTCAGAAATTCATGATCCATAGGACTGTAGCTAACCTTAATGCACATGGACACAGGAGGACACTTGATCACAAAAAGTGGGATTTTGCTGAAGTTTTCTTTTTCTTTCTTTTTTTCTTTTTTTACAGTTCATAACATTTTTAGAATCCTTGAATCTGTTATGTTATCTAGAGGAAGAAGATAATAGTTTCTTACATTTCAGAGGACATTGGTCTTGCATGGTTTCATAACATCAAATAAAATAAGTTTATGGTCAGAGTCCTTCAGATCTGATGCAGCAAAGCTGAAAGGAGTTAGAGCGGAGCAGCATACAAGGTCAAGGATATGTCCTTTATTGTGTGTGGGAAAATTAACATGCTGCTGCATTTTAAAACTGTCTAAAACAGAAGCTAAATCTCTCACCAGAGGGCTGTTGATTTTGTCCATGGGAATATTGAAATCTCCCAGCAGGATAATATTTTGGGATAAAGGGCGCAGATGCCCTAAAAGAGAAGACAGATCACTTATAAAATCCTTACTGTGTGTTGGTGGTCGATAGAGGATACCTAAAATGATGGGAGGAAGTCCATGGATTTGATATATTGCTGTTTCAAATGAGTTGTAGGCAGAGACTTGGAGAGGAGACACAATCCATTTGTTACTGTAGATCATTGCAAGACCACCCCCTCTTCCACCAGAACGTGGTTTACAGGTGTAAACAAATCCAGATGGTACAGCCTTTTTGAGCTGCATAAAATCATTTTCTTGCTGCCAGGTTTCAGTAAGACATAAGAAATCCAACTGTTTGTCCTCTAGGAGCCTGTAGACAATTTGACTCTTCTTGTTCAAAGAGCGGATGTTCAGTAAACCAAATGACATGCAGGTGGTAGTGAAGTTGTTTCCATCCAACCTCGAAAGGGGAGATGGTACACTGTGGTCCATAGTGAGCTGGTGTTTTGTCACTGGGAAAGGTGATGATGACCAGAGGGGCTTTTTTGGCTTTTTATCAACATAGCTTTTTCTCCATCTGCATTCAGACATGCTTGAGCACTATAAAAAACACACAGTTAAGACATTAAGATTAAAATAAGGGATAATATAGTAAAGGCTACTATGAGTCTTACCTGTAACACTTAGAGATGGTGAAATCTGTAAATTAAATAATGGAATTTATTAACAAACGTCTTGCAACTGTTTAAAAGCATTACACTTAATTTATCTGTTTATCTTATGAATTAAAGTTTTATTTACTACTTTATTTAGCTGAGATGAGGAAATAAAATTGTTCTTTTTTTACTCTACAACATTATCTTATTCTGGCTGCTTCTCTGAGGGTTCATAATACCATATAACCTTCCTCTACCTAACCCTATCTGTTACCTGATGAACTATTACACAGAACCTTGTCATTGTCCTCCTTCACTATGTCCATCAGTTTCTTTGTGATCTCTCTCTTTTCCAGGTTACTGTACTTCATATAAAAATCTCAACACCTTTAGTTTTTTGTCTATTTAAGTAATGCTGTCTCCAAACTATACATCATCACATGTCTCTTTATTTTCTAATAGACTTCTTGTTCAATCTTGTTGACATTCTTTTGTCACAATATCCCTGGCCTAAGTCTTTCATCAAAGACCACAAGGTCATCTGCAAACATCAGAGATCTGATCCCTGTCTAAAAACAGTGGTTCTGGACCTCACAATGATATGGTCCAATTATTTCCCCCTGCACTGAGTGGACAGAACAGCAAAGGCATCATGTTCCAAAGAGTTTCTTATCTGACCTAATCTGTCAACATATCCATAACCACTTTAACAGGAAGGGGATAGGAGTTAAACCCATAATGACTCTGACTGTAAACCTTACCTTTGTCTCACGGGCCATTTCACAAGAACTTGTTTTCTCACCAAGTACGTTCTTGACAAGAACACAGGAAGTATGGACTCAGGGAGAACAGCAACATGTAGAACAAATCTGTGTGAAATGGAACAGAAACATTTTCATGACATCGCCACCAACACTGGTGATCTGGACCTGCATTTCACCTCCTGTTATTGATAGTCTTGAGATAATGATACATTACGTATTTCATTTAGTCAGATAAACACAAGACAAATTAATGTTTTGCCAAAAAATAAAAACGGCATTAAAGCCAACAGTACTTCACATCCACTATAATGAGAGAGGGCTGCTGTAGACGGGCTAATGCTAGCCCTGGCTGTGGTAAGACTCAGAGCTCTTCTGGTTGCCACAATCCTCCTAACATCAGCACTTTTTTCCCCCAGTAAATTGGCCATATACTGTAGTTAGATTTTTCCCCCTTGCAGTGGCTGTCATCTGCTGGATGTTTAGGCAATACTTTTGGAAAAAACAAAGAATCATCTTTTCAAATATTTTAGATCAAATATCACATTTAACAAAGAAAGTTAATGTGTAAATGTAAAAGTTTCATAAATTAAGAACTGTTATAAACAACGGTACATTTGTATTTGTAAACCAAAAAATGATTGTGGCTTTGTTAAGCTGCAACATACTAGTTCAACTGTCAAAGCACACATAAGTTTTATAGTATTAGATTGAAAATAAAAAAATATGTTTACCTTGTAGGACGGTACCTTCAACAGCTTAGGTCTGTTCTTGAATGCTTCTCTCGGATCCACCTATGGACTCTGTTAAGTTCTGTTCTCCTTTAAATCAGTCAGTGTTTTTATATTTACTTATATGATTCATACTTACCAATTCAGTCACATGCAGCCACATAACTTCCGCAGAAACTATTGAAGGTGTGTCCCCGACTGTGTAGTGAAATTAGATGACTTTTTTTAGAAACAGGAAAAGGCTGCAACTCCTGTTTGGACAAAATTTTGTTGGTTTCTATAGCTTGGAATGGGATGTAAGACTGCATTCTGTTTTCAACAGTTAAAAAAAAAAGATCTTTATCATGTTTTATATAAAAAATATTTTTTTTTATATAAAACCAGTCAAAGCATTTAAATTGGAGCCATAAATGGATCATGACACATTATATTGTGGCAACAGAGGGTTGCATTAATATTCCCCTCTTTATGAAGTATTAAAGGCCTTTAGTGAATGTTTAATGCATTATCAAAATTATTTTGTCATCCACACAAACATTATCCAGTCCAATCCCTAATGCCTCAACATACTTGAATCATTTGAATTAAGGGGACGAAAAAGTTTTACTGAAAAGTAAAATTTATATTTTGCATTGCTTGCAGTCAGCATTCACATCTTTTGCTATGACATGCAAAAGTGAGAACAAGTACATGTTCCATTGTGTGTATAACTTTATTAACGTCTGTCTGTGGTAAATTCAGTTGACCGGACTCAATTTGAACAAACAATCCAAATAGAAACCAGAATACAACTTTGTCTTGTGAAATCCTCGTGTCATGTTTTGAGAAAAAACATTGTCATGTTTTGAGAAAAAACATAAACCAGTTATTACCTGACTAATATCATCCTTTTGAGGTAGTGACGCTATAATTATCTGGCTCCGATTTTCTAAAATAGTATTTTGCTAAAGTAAGATGACAAGATTAAGAATACAAAGAGATTCCAAAATACAATCCAGAGCACTCTGGACCTCAGAGTAAGTTTCCAATTTAACTTTCAACAAATATGATTAACAGCAGACAACCAGATCAACAAAATTCCATTTCCATTAGCAATCATTTAGTGCATATTGTCACGCCACGCTTAAAGCCATATATCATGCAGAATCAACTTTTTCGAGGTTTTAACTATGTAATAATTATTTTGTTTCATCATGCATGGTTATTAATCCTTATACAAAAAAAAAAACAATAATATTTTGCACAAGAGCGATAATGTTGTAGAGGCTTGTTAAACTAGAGATGCACAGTGTTGGAATTTTAACCAATATTATGGCCCAATAAAGTCAATATCGCCTAAAACCGAAAGCATGACATTAGTATTTATATCCCTAATTTAAACTTATCAATGTGTTCTTTTTTGACTGATTTCAGTTAGCGACAAACAAAGTCATCCAAAAGCACAGAAGCTGAAAGACAAATCATATCACTAATTCCATTGTGGAAGTAGTTGTTATAGCTTAACTTTTCAACTCCCCAAATCTCTTCTGGTTAATATGTGATTACTTATAAATTAGTAGAACATATACAAACATTTGTACCAGTGTTTGTATACATTCACTTATACTATCCCATGTGGGATATCCCACATGGGATGAAACTGGTTTTGTTTATAAACAAAGAGACTGCTGTATAAAGTGAAAGGTGTGGCATGTCTTATGACAGAGATTAGGAGGAATGTAAAGGTTCTGTACCAGCAGGGAAAGAAGTGATAAATAAACAAATGGGTAATTTGTTTATTTAACCAGTACTTAATGGGGAATAACCAGCCTTATTATGGGACAACTGCTTAGTTACCCGAGAAACACAGAATAACAAATCAGGAGCTACAGTAATGTGTATTTGTCAAGAAACTACAGGACATATAAATATGAAAATATATTTCAAGGGCAATTGCTGTCTTGGCACATATTTTGTGAAATTCCACATAAAATCTAGGACTAGAAAATTTCTGAGAGAGCAATGGTTTATATTCACCCCAAAGTCAGGTTGGTGCCAAATCTGGACTGTACCCGATAAGGGCAGCGGCTGCCACTGATCTGTGGTATTAATGAGAAGGATGTAAAGGTTTGGTGTTGTTGTGCAAAACGATATCCTGCAGATAATGAATAAATGATTAACTAGAACTGGAGTTGTAGTTAATTATTTAGCTTATTAAACGTTGGAGATGAAATCAATTTAGTGTTCTTAGTTGAATAATTGTAGCTCTAATTTTCTTACTTACCAGGGTTTATGCCTTTCACCTCTGGATGGTTCCTGGAGCAGCTGTTAAAATCCAGGTATCCACGACAATTAATGTGACCTGGGCAAGGTTATCAGCAGAGCTTTTAATTATCAATCAAAGAACTATTTATGACGGTGTCAGGACTCAGCCGACAGGGCCGTGCAGTTTCTGCCGGTTCTGCTTCTTTCTGCTTTCTCCGCAGGTGTTTGCAGTTGACAGGTGGGCAGGGCGCACGCACCTGTGGCTGGTTGAGCTGCGTCTGATCGCACTATAAGAGCAGCATCCAGACAGCAGGAGGACGCCAGAGTGTTAACCGTATTGGTATGACTAAGGCCACAGTCTCTCTACTGAGTTCTGACTTCCCTCGTTAACCCAAACCTCTGTGTTCCCCAGGTTACCTCTCGATCGCCTTTCAGAGGGTCCCACTCGTGCTGACTCCAGGTTCTGAGTTCCCACAGGGTCCTCCCTTTCTCCTGGCTCCAAGCAAGGTGCTTCGAGCCACTCTAGTTTCTCCTGCTGCCCCGGATCATTGTTAAGTAAGCGCAGCTCTGTCACCCTCAAGCCCGAGCCCCACCTGTCACTGAGACACCCGCCACCAGCTCCATCGATCAGAGCCTGAGTCCGCTCCGTCCTCCCCCGGTTAGGTTGCTGCGTCCGGTGGTAAGCTCATGTTCCTCTGTTCATTTTTTCCTGATTGCCCTTTCCGGCTAATCACTAACTTCTCCTTTCAGAAGTCGAACGGGTCCCGGTGCTGTGGCTTTCCCGTCGACTCCGTTGCTTCCATTTTCTCTCTCTCAATAAACAGTTAACTGATCCCTGTTGCCATGTGTGTTCTGCATGTGGGCAAAATACGTTCAGCCGAACATGACAGAAGAACACTCTGGCCAGACAGGCCCAGCGGACACATTCGGCAGGGCGTTAAATGCCCAGCAGGATCAGATTCGGGGATTAGAGTCCACTGTTCTAGCTGTTCAGAATCAGCTGCAGGGCATAGCCGCCCAGCTCAATCAGCTGACAGGTTTACTGAATGCAAGCGCTCAGCCTGCAGCCTCTGCACAGCCCGACCCCGCCCCCGGTCCAGCGCCAGCTGATTCGTTTTCACCTGTCCCTGAGACTTTTTCTCCCAGTCTGAAGAAATTCTCCAGAGACAGTGTAGATTGTTCTGGTTTTCTCTTCCAATGCTCCCTGGCTTTAAATCGTAGTCCACGCTCTTTTCCCCATGACGACTCCAAAATAGCCTTTATTTTGCGCCTTCTCACCGGGAGAGCCCTCAGATGGGCGGAATCCCGTTTTCCAGACTGCCGAACATTCCGCTGCTCATTTAGTGAATTCATAACAGAATTCAAGATGGTTTTTGCTGCCGAGTCGGATGAGACGACTGATTCCCGATGGCTCCTCGCCCTCAGGCAGCGGGGAGGGCGCGTTGCAGACTTCGCAATTGAGTTTAGAACTCTTGCGGCTGCAGATGGCTGGGAAGAGCGCGCGCTTAAGACTGTGTTTTTTCAGGCTCTAGACCAGCCACTAAAGGATGAATTAGCCCGTCTAGAGGTGCCCGCCTCTTTAAATGAGTTCATCTCCCTTGCGGTTAGATTAGATAACCGTCTAAGGGGAAGGTTTAGAGGACGAGCTGAGAGATCCCTCCCGTCTTCTCCACCTGATCCTATTCCCGGTCGGCCCGCAGCGCGTCCTCCTTCTCCTCCTGAGCCCATGCAGTTGGGCCGGTTACGGCTCACCCCCGAGGAGAGGCAGCAGCGTATAGCTGCCAAATTATGTATTTATTGTGCTTCCCCGAATCATTTTATTGGCGACTGCCCTGAGCGGTCAAAAGACCGGGTCCGCCGGCTGTAGCAGGGAGACCGTCGAACCAAGTTAAGCTGACAGCCCCTGCTCCTCCGCGTCTGTGCTTACGCGACGCCTTAATTTCTTCCCGTGAAACCTTTAAGTTTTCCGCTCTGGTTTATTCAGGGTGCGACTTTAATTTAATAGACTGTTCTTTCGTTCAACGCTCCCAGCTCGAAACCGTGCCCCTGTGCACCCCTCTCCAGGTCTCTGCCTTAGATGGAGGGGCTCTCCCTCAGATAACCCACCGTACTAAGCCCCTTGAGCTCGTGGTTTCAGGAATTCACAGGGAGCAGATCTCCTTCTTGGTTTTTTCTGTTAAGCAGGCTCCTCTGGTGTTGGGTTATTCTTGGTTACAGCAACACAACCCAAACATTAACTGGGCTGACCGGCGCATCGAAGCCTGGTCGATTAAATGCCATTCCAGCTGCCTGCTGTCGGCGGAACCCGCCAGCCCGATCACGGTCCAGCCTTCTGCTGAGGTTGGTCCGGATATGTTAAGACTCGTTCCAGAGTCGTATCACGACCTCAAGTTGGTTTTTAGTAAGTCCCAGGCCTGCTCTTTGCCACCGCATCGACCCTACGATTGCGCAATCAACCTCCTGCCGGGCGCCCGCTCCCAGCCAGTCGCCTGTATAACATTTCTCAGGCCGAGCGACAGGCTTTGGAGAATTACATTAAGGAGTCACTAGCTGCCGGGCTGATTAGACCCTCGTCTTCCCCCCTCGGGGCTGGGTTCTTTTTTGTTGCGAAGAAGGATGGCTCCCTTCTCCCGTGCATAGACTACCGTGGGTTAAATGCTATAACGGTAAAGAACAGGTACCCCCTTCCTCTCCTTTCCTCCGCTCTTGAACCGGTCCAGTCCGCTACGGTCTTTTCTAAATTAGGTCTGCGTAATGCTTACCACCTGGTCCGGATCCGCCGGGGGGACGAGTGGAAAACGGCCTTCAAGACACCCTTGGGCCATTTTGAATACCTGGTAATGCCTTTTGGGCTCAGCAATGCTCCAGCGGTCTTCCAATCCCTTG